TTGATTCAGATTGCCACACTCGCTTACTAAAACTATTCGATTTTTATTGACATTTTCAGCAAATGGCTTTTTGATTGCTTGCCATTACAAATAGCTAAAAGTAAACTACATCCATTTTGATTGGTGAATGTCAGAAATAAATGAAGTTTAATATTCAAGTAAAAATTGAAAATCATTTATCATTAAGAAATAATAATAAACATCATAACAATAATTAATTAAGTTTTTATCGAAAGATTTTCTCTCTTTATTGTTTTGTATTTTTGATAGTTTATCATGATTGAAATATAACTATAGTTCGCCTGCAATTCTTAAAACATACCTTACAAAATGCTAACTCTGCAGAGCATTTCCAACTCAATTGGAAGAATAATGGCAAATAAATTACATTGAATAGGAAATTGAAACGAAATGCTGAAGAAATCTTAAATGCGTCAGCATTTTGGTAATAAATTGCACTTGCCCAAGACTTCCTTCCATCGAAAATAGATTTATTTATGAACGTATCCAGCTAGATGGACAGCCGGGCAGAAATTGCAGCTATTCCCACCTGCGTCTCACCTGATTGGTGTCCCATTAGGGCAACAAATTAGCTCTTGGCCAGTTCTGATGGCCATTCCAGGGTTCCGGCTGGGTTATTTACGACCAAGAGATGCAATCCCCGAGCTGATCGAACAGCATTTGTGCATTTTGCTTTGCCATAAATCATAATGGCAGTGCATGTCCATGTCCCCCACTTTGCAATTTTTATGGTACTTTACATTGAAAAAAAATATCTGTTTACCTATCTATCAATAACTAAAAAACAGAATAATACAGAGGGTCTTAGCAATTTGTTTTTTTCGTTTTAAAAAGCAATAAAACCATTTTTAAACAAAATGTTTGGATTTAATTTGAATTTTAAATTGTGTAATGAGCAATTTATTTAACTGGGAACATTTTTAGAACTTGATATTCCAAAATAAGTTTGTTTTGAATTTCTTGTAAATTAAATTTATTGTTTAACTTTAATAAAAACAATCATTATTACTTAATACGTAAAAATATTATGAATCAGTTTCCTTATGAAAAATATTATTGATTTAATAATGTTTTGATTTGGTATCTCTAGTCAACAATAAATATTTTTGTAATGGTCAAAACGATAAGAAAAAAGATACATACATATGTATATGTAATTTAAAATTTCTTATTGTGTACTACGCAGTACGTTGCCTTACTTTCAACTGGCGGCGAAGGCTTTTGCCTAATTGATTTACAACACTTTCCAACCTTACTCAATGCTCGAGTGACAAATGCAGGGCTCTGGAACTGGCTTCTCGTATTACTATTATTGTTATTATTACTCTTATCTTTATCTCCCGACTTGCGGGAGATATTCTTAGAGGCTAACGGCACAATGGAGGCGGCATGGGTTGGAAAATGGGGTTGCCAAGGGGTTGGGGTTGGGGATGGGGCTGAAAATGGGGATGGGGCTTTGCTCGGGGACTTGCTCAATGCTCGATTGCGCGACAATCGCAATGGGACCATATATATGTGTTTCGCAGCTTATCATTCCCTGCATATACGTACCACATATATATATTATTGAGTGTGTGTATGCTGACTCCCTGGGGTCGCATTGGAGCGTGAGCATTTTGCAAAAATAATTTATGGCAAACTGTTGATTGCTGACATGGGGCCCCCAGAGCAGCAGCAGCAGCAGCAACAGCGAACAAAAAAAACGAAAAAAACTAAAACAAGACAATAACAGAATTATTAACAGATGTAGTAAGGCAAGAAGATAGGGAAATGTACCATGTACAAAAAACAATGACACCCGACCGACATATCAGCAAAATTAAAAGAAATAACAGACATTGAACATCGGTAACAAGAGCAACATTGGGAACAACAGCAACACTACAGCCACAAGACAACATGGAAAGCTTTACATACTCAAAGGCAACAGTAGGAAAGAAAGACGGTCGTCCGAACAAAGTAACAACAGCAACAAAGAACTACAAAACCCGCAATACTTGTAAATAGCAGTGTGGCCAACACAACAGCAACAATAGTTGCTACAATAACAGCAGCAACATTGAATGTAAAGTCGTAGTCCTCTTTTGGCTCAAACACTGGAAAATATTTGTATAATCTATAAAAGTAAAGGAACTTAAAAAAATAAGTAACGAACAATTTAAAAATTAGATATTTAAATCCCTCCGAAAATCAAATTAAAAATTATTTTTGAAGCTTAAGGGACTTTTTTATTTGTTTGTAAAAATGGGTTTTGATAAAATGTTTAAAATAAAAATGGGACTTAAGTAAACTTTTACGTTTTATATTTCACCTTGTAATCAAATTTAAATCTATTTAATCATAACTAACTTGGTTTATTAACTTTTGATTTCCTGTTAATAGGTTACAAGTTACATGTTAACGGTTTTTTCTTCTAGTGTGACAATCAGTCCCATTTATTGTTTAGTACGCGACTAGAATTTATCATTAGTTTACTTGTTGTATACATATACAAATTATGTTTGTATATGAGAATATATACCATATAGATTAACAATTGTAATCGCTGTTGTTGTAGCTGCTGTTGGTTTTGCCAAGCGAAACGAAACGCAACGAGCAAAACAAAAAGCTATAGGCAGTCAGCAAAGCAACGACAACCGACAACTCGGGTGTTGATGTGTTTTCGAAAACATTGCGTCATTTCCAGATGGCAAGCTTTAAGCCAATTCGCCCCCCGCACACAGTACCCCGAATGCCCCCTGCACTACGCCCCTGTGCAGTAAAAAAAACACAGAGACCAAGTGGCAGACGATCGAGTTGGATTCGTAGAAAAACTGAACAAATTCTACGAACTGAACTTGGGGATGTCGACGCCTATATCGGAAGGCAAATGGCAGTGTGGATACTGACACGTATATATTTGGTTGTATGTATGTATATAGGGGGGTATGTGTGCCTGAACATGATTGATATTTGCTTGCAATGATTACTTGTAGTCGCAAAACTTGTGATAAAACGACAAACACAACTCGAGATATTTATCGTGTCGCGAAGGAAATTACACAAAAGTTAAGGGCTGCAATTTATGGGGTACTTTTATAGGTTCTTTGACTTTTGAAGACTTAATGTGACTTAATTATGAGTTATTAAATTATGAATTATTTGTTATTTTGGCCAATATAGCTGCTAAATATTTTTTAAGAATTTCAGAAAGTACATATTTAATTCAATATTTTAAAACTTTTATAATTTAAGTTGCTAAATTTAAGCTTATTACAAATATTTATAAACATGAGTTATATATTAAAAATAGATACAAAATATAGAAGATATTTAAATATTGAATAAAATATGTACTTTCAAAACTACTTACTAATATTTGGCACCTTTTCCAGTATTATTTTTTAAAATATTTCATTAATTTTTTTTATCAAAAATTAAATTTCTCGCTCCAGCTTGAAGAGTTTACGTAGTACAAGTAGTATGCTCTGCAATATCTATGCCACATCCGCAAGAAGAACCTTTGGAATGAGCTATAATTGGATGAGCTGTGGATGAACGTAATCTGCAATTCCAGACAGTTGGGCGACTTCTTAGAGCTGCAGCACAATGTTTTCCTTCGCTAGTAGCGATTATTTACCACTGAATGCAATTGCTTTGGGCGGAGGGCAAGTAAAAGATGATTAGCAACGACCTTAAATAACCTACTGATTCTATAGACGCGCTGCAATTGTATCGTCTCGAAACTATTTACTTTCGGAACGGATTCGACTGCAAATATTTACCTTGTGTTCGAGCTTTTCTTTGATCAGCTAAAAGCAGTAGGTGGTTGATTTTCTTTCAAAGTCGGAAACCTACGTCAATGCGGGATCAATGGGATTAAGCACTGCCATTATATTGCTCCATTTATCACTTTTAACACTATATAGTGCAAACAGACTGTTTGAGCTATAAAGGAACTAATTTATCACTTATCGCTGATCAATGGGAAAATGAATACAACACAAATACAAACCTGGAGCTTTTCACAAATATCACAAAGCATATTTGTTCATGGCAAATAAATATTAATAAAAATGCAGATAATACCTACATATTATTACTAACACGATTCGTCATTTAATATCGTATGCAGTCATTTACTATTTATATACCAAATTTTAGCAGGATTTAAATGTTGTTAATTATGAATTAATAACTATTTGCTTGATGGATGTGAACAGTTGGTTATTCAATTTGCGTCATCGATACCTTAAGTTAAAATCCAACCTTAGAAATCCATTTAAAAATGTTGACCCAATTGAAAGATGGGAAGTGTTTCCCATCCGAAGCAGTCAAAAATAATAAGTATTTCAAAGAACCATTTGGATATTATCATTTATTCAAGGCTATAAAAACGCCGCGTAAACAAAATGCCCTAAAAAAGTGTAATTTGCTTAGGGCAATCCATAAAAGATAAATTAATTATTATCTTTTTTGTATATTTTTGAATTGTTTATTTAGCAATTAATGTTTGCTTTGTTGCCCCTCCTTTTTAGATTGCCTAGTTCTTTGATACAGTTGAGAGCGTTTGTGATTTATGGACGAGACCCTCGACGAGTATGTGAATGTAAATGTGAGTACACGAGTATGAATATGAATAATCGCATCGAAGGCGAACAACGAGCCTCATTGTTTTGGTCGGTACGAGTAGTTGCTCAATAGCCGACAGTCGGAATAATTAGGCAATACCGGGCATACAATAGAACCCTTTTACATGGCTAACATATTAAGGACTGGAGCTGTGATAATGCGCAATTAGTTGGTTACCCATTACCCCGATTTTATTGGTTTATTACCAAATAGATAGCATGAAATAACGATAACAACAAAGTTACACTCGTTTATTACAAAATTAATATCCTGAAAAATCATCAAAAAAACATTTTCTCTGTAAATAGAAATCCATTTCAATAAAAATCCCAGACATTTCCCCTAAAGGGCAATAAAAGTCAATTGTGTCATTTTCAAAATGAAATTCAACATTTCTGCATTTTTATTTGGAGCCCTTTTGCTCGAATCAAATTAGTTATGCATAACAAAAATTAAGATTTGCACATTTCATGTTTCATTATTTTCTCTTCTCTGTTTTTTTTTCTTTAGGACTATTTACAGAATTAAGTTTATACATATGGATTGGCATACGCGATAAAAAGTTAATTAAATTTACATGTTGTTACGGCTTCATTTATTTGCTTTACACGTCGATTTTTTGCAATCATTTCGCGTTTGTTTGCTGTTTCGCTTTTATGCATAAGATAACAAGGCTTAATTGACTAAAAAAAATAAAGGCACCTGAGTTCAAAGTGTTATTGCCAAATGTAAATATATATAATAAACGAAAATCAAAAATATAACGCCTGTGAAATCAAAAAACGATAATCATAAAAAGTACATTTATAAACGTAGAATATATGGGTGTGTGCATAAAAATGCACACAGCTAACGTAAAGCATTTATAATTAATTCAATTTAATTAATGGTATGTTTGTTTCGTCCCTAATTCAACTGCACTCCTTTGACTGACTGACTTTCAGATATATACTCACTGATATCGTTTATGTGTTAATAAATGTAGATAGAGTAAAGATAAAGTACTTATATGGTCTTTGTCCCTGAATGAAATGCTCATGTCGCCCCCAAAACCCCGTGTATTATGTAGGTACCCCCAGTTTGTTTTTGTTTAGAATTGTTGGCTCTGGTTTTGACCCATTGTTGCTTTGCTGACTAGTGCGTTGGTTGTCTCTCCCCCCGTTCGTTTTGTCTACATATATTTATTTTGGTGGACCTTTAATCGAATCCTCCCCATCCTTTCATTGCATATTGTACAGCTGCGGTGGCTCCTTGCTGGCTGGCATCCCCTGATCGTATTTCCCCAGCTCGGCCTCGTAGAGGAGATTGTTGATCAGGTGCTTCACCACGATCTTCGACTTGGATGTCTTCAGCTTGCGTATGGTTATGGCCACGTACTCCCCGAATACCCCATATTCGTCCACATGATTGGCACTCAGACCGCCGCCCCCGATGAGCGGTTTGGGGGGCGTGGTGCCGCTGTTGCTGCTGGAGCTGCAATTGCTGGATGTTGCTGTTGGGTCCAGCGAGGTGTTGCTGGTGTGGCCGGCGATGTTGCTGCTGCCGCTGCTGATGTTGTTGTTGTTGCAGTTACTGTTGCCGTTGCCATTCGACGTTGAGAGATCACGATCACGATCACGTTTTTGTGCCATGTTACTGGAATGTTGTTGCTGTTGCAGATGCAACGATTGTTGCTGCTGCTGATGTTGCTGGTGGTGGTGGTGCTGCTGCTGCGGTTGCCCGTTGCAGTGGCTCAGGCTAAGACTGTGATTGTGGTTAAAGTGCTGCTGGAGCGCCTGAAACGCGAGCTGGCTGTGGTTCATCTGCTGATGTTGCTGCTGGCCAGCGGATCCGCCCGCCCCCGCCGCACCGCCCACCGCCTTGATGGGCGTCAATGTCAAAGCGCCCACAACGTGCTCCACGCCCATCGCCTTGCGCTTGCGGTGGTTGTACGTTAGATCCGTCGGCTTGTAGTAATTTATGGGCGACGGCGTGCTCGTCCGTCGATCCAGCATCCCCAGCTCCGATTCGTGTTCGATCTGGTGGGGTTTAAAAAAATATGGGGATGTGTTTTAGACGGCGCTGAAAGGAAATTTATTGGCAACGCACTTAGCCATCATTTTATTGCCCTTCGCAAAAATTAAAACTCAAGGAGTTCTAGAAAGTTTACAAAAAAAAAAAAGTTATTTTCATTTATGTTTTAATCAATTTTTTTTATCAGCACCTCTAAAAAGTTTATTGTGTCTAATTTATATAAATAGGTACGGTAATGAATTTTCGTTTATTTTATTATTTGTTATAGTAATTTATTAATTTATGATTCAGAAATTATTTTCAGTTCAAATTGACTCATCTTTACTTTACCTATAGGTGTGTTTTTCAAATTTACTGTTTTATTTGCAAGCTAAAATAAATGAAATTCCCCCCAGTAATTTAGACATATTAACGAAGGACGGGCACTTCCCTTAGTAAAGTAAATCCGTTCAACATTTCATCAGCCCTATTTATTATTTTGATTAAAGATGGGCCCGTCAAAAGAAAAACCGGAACCTGTTTTACTATACTACTTATACATCTATAGTATCAACGTCTGACGAAATCTTCGCTGTGTTGTTTCATCAACTATTTACTAGACGCGCATCGCTTTGTATACAAATAATATAAACAATTCAATCCGTAGGTTTGCCAAGTGTCTGAAGGGAGAGCAGTCAGAGACATGTGGGTACTTTGATAAGCCCCTAGAATCGAGTCATTTATTCGCTTGTGGGCACAACCTTGTCTGGGAAAGTATAGGAAGTGAGAGCTTTCTAAGTCAGGCTATTTTGATAATATATGATTTATAAGAAATTATTTGGAAGCGCTCACGTTTCAGTTCGTAAAATTCAAATTTTTTAATCAAAAAGCCCAAGTGATTCACAGGCTTTCAACTCCTACTGCTTATCATGCGAGATACACGGATGTATCATATCTGCCCTGGCAACACCAACCAATGACCTTCAGAAATTAAAAGGTTTCGACGGTCAATGTGCAAGTTGTGGACGTCATAAATTGATAAGATTCGTCATCGAATTAAGTTAGTTACAGAATTTTAAACACTGTTGCCTTATCAAATAATAAATAATCTAATCGAATTATTTGCTTTGCGCTTGTAATCAGAAAAATATGAGAAGAGGTGGAATCTGACCAACTGACCAACGTATTATATCATTGGAGTTAAATAAAAATGTCTGCAAGTGAATCGGTTGTAAAATCAGTATTAGCAGTAACAAAAAATATTTTTAAACAAGTTATAATAAAATATTATTTTAAGATTCCTTTAATAAATCTATAAATTAATTTAATAATAATATAATTAATTGCAGTACTCCAGAAAATGATCGATGTTTCTATCAATTCGAAATGCATTATTCAAAAATGATTTTATACCCCAGACCCGTGTCAAAAATGATTCTCTAATTACACCCACAGATCACTTGACATAACACTTCCCTTCATAGGTTGAGATAAAAAAATGTTAAATTATCCCCCAACAACGGACTTCAACCTGTCGAATCAATTAAAGTGCGATTAACAATCAACGGCAGGGTACTTACAATTTCTGTTTTCACATCTTCGGCGCTGATATTGCAGTAATTCTCGCCATCCAAATCGGAAGAGGAACGTGTCTGCGAAGATCGAACAAAAAATCCAGAATTAGCGGAGATCGTAGAATCAACAACAAATACAATTATGGCAGTGTGGAGAATTTGCCAGACAGATAATGAGAAAAAACAACAAAATAATAATAATAGTGGACAGACGCAAAGCGAGAAACGCGAGAGAAATAGAAAACAAATTAGAATAATAATAAAAAGCAAACACAAAAGTGGATGCAGACTCGCAAGTCGAGCCGCTGGCGATTAAATTAGTCACGGCGGGGCAAGGTGGCCGAGGGGCGGGGATAGGTGGCTCAGGGGCGTGGGCGGTACGGGCGGGACAGCAGCCAAGTCAACATCGAAGTGGACCAACTGGTGGACAGACCCACAGACGGACATGAGACGATTGACCAAAAAAATAAAGACTCACGAAAATAACACAAGAGATGGGAGAAAAAATCAAAGTGAGGACTATGGAATACCCTAAGTTTGTCTTAAAAATATATTATTTTAAGTAACTAAACTATTTAGAAACATACATAAATTTAAGAATGATGTTAACTATTTTTTTTAATATCCAAAGTTTTTAAAATATTTTATTCCAGACTCTCCATCTCATTATGATAAATACTTTCAGTAGCTTACAACAATGTATTGTAAAATAAATATTTTTCAATAAATAGAAGGAAAATAATGTTCATGTTTAATATAACTTCTTAATATAATCTTTTACGATATTTTAAAAACATAATGGGTTCTTTCAAATAAGAATATTTACACTTAATAATAATTACATACACACAAGTGTTACTTATCAGACTCTATGATTGGTGATCTTCAAAATAATAGATTTTCTAATGGGAATATTAACGATTTGTATTTTTTTTATAATGATACTATATTATGTACTTCTTGTCTTTTAATTATAGATTAATACATTTCCGGGAACCCGATCGAACTAGCTACTGGGCATTATTGCGAACACTTCTTCAAAGCTCCGGAGAAAGCTCGCTTTACAGTTGAAGTTCCTCGATTACTGGTCGAGCTTCTGCCCAAAAGTCTCGTACTTTTTTCGGGAGAGAATCGAATCAAATATAAAACCGAACGAGCGGACGAGGCGACATAGGAATACAAAAAAACGCAGTCCAGCAACTTGCTATATTGCCAAGTGTGTTCGTATGTACGAATGTATGCATATTGGAGCAGCTACTGCTGCTCGGGGGCGGCGGAGCATCGATGCGGGGCCAAGGGGCGTGGTCGGTGCAAAACGTGGGGCCGCCGATTTCTACGGCTGATGCAACACACATGTGTATGCATTATAGATATATGTAGGTATGGCGTGGTGTATAGCAGAAGCGGCAGCGCAAATCAAAGCCAGTTGACACACACACTGGCACACTAACACCAATACTCGCTTATCAAGCGCAACGCAATAGCAGCTACCGCGCACAGTGGGCAATATCTATTTTAAGAGAATAATAACGCCGAAAAATGTTGTTCCAAACATGTAATTTAAAAATTAAAAAAAAAAATAAAACAAAAACTGAATACAAACAAATTAGTAAATAAAGTGTTCCTTAAAAAACCCTTAAATATTATAATTATTTTGACATTAACATATATCTTTCCTATTAAAAAAGATTTTTGATAATTGCAAAAATTCACATTATAATATATTTTGTAGTGGCTTACAGGGCGCATTATAATAAAATTAATCATACGCCATGTGTATCAAAAAGAGTTCTTTATTTTCTGACTCTTCTCTGAGCAATTGTTAGATATGGGTAAATGGTTGAATTTTTTATTAAGTAGCAAGACCAAAATATTTGACCAATAAAAAAAGATAACATTTATATTTAAAAAAAATAAAATTACTCATACGACATGTTATCCCAGTTATACTCTCAATTACAATTTTGGATCTTAAAATTCTTTGAAAAGTGATTAAATCTTTAAAGTTATTTTTTCGTAGGCTCAAAAAAGTTCAAAATTCTTTTGGGTAGTTTTTTAAAGAATTCATTTTTAACTAGGTCACTGATTCACTAGAACACTGTAGTTCGAATGACTAATTGGAAAAATTATTCAAAATGTTTTGTACCTAAAATAAAAGCTATAAAAGTTTAGACCGACCACCTGATGGCCCCACTTATCGCTGGCCCCACTGTGCGCCACCGGTTGCGCCGCTGCTGTTGACGAACCGCTAGACAGCGACGCCTGCGACGGCGGGCGGCGACAGCAGCGCGTGTGCTGCCTGCTGCCGCAAAACAAGTCAAACCACTCGCACACTTACACAGGCAAAGCTCCAAAGAAATACGAAAAAAATAACAAAAATAAAAGACGGACAGGGGGGAGGGGGCGAAAAAGGCCGAGAGACACATGCAAAATAGGTAGAGGTGTTTTGGCTGGGCTAAAAAACAAAAAAATCACTTACCACAGCCGCCGAGGAGGATTCGATGAGGGCGCCACCGCCGCCCGCCGCCTCCGCCTCCTCGAGTTCCATTTCCCGAGCGCCGTCCAAATCGCCAGCGGCATCGCCGTCCCGCTCCCGCTCACGATCCCGGGCATTTGCCGCAGCCGCAGCGGCAGCGACGGCGGCCACAGTGGCCGCGATTCGAGCGGTCAGCTCGTCGTGCTGCTGCTGCTCCACCTGCAGTATGATGTCCCTGTCCACCAGCTTGTCCGCTTTCAGTTGCGCCAAATCCAGACTGTGCATCAGGGTTAGCTTCTCGTCCGCTTCCGTTTCCGCCTCACCATCTTGATCTTGATCCTGACCCGGATGATCCTGATCCTGATCCCGCTCGCCGTCGAGTATGAAGCGTATGGCCTCGTAGGCGAACCACATCGGCTGATAGATAACCCCGCGCGATCGGCCGCTCAGGACCTTGCCGTGCTCGCGATGAAAGGAGCTGCGCAGGGACTTGATCTTCGACCTTATCGATCGTATTTCCGTTCCATATTTCTGACTCAGGAGCTTCAGCGCTTCGTATTTCGTCTGCTTGATGTGATAGCCCTTGGTGTTGGGATCCCAGAGGACTCGTTGCCGGCGATAGTCCTCGATGAAGTTGAGGATCGTTGAGCGGGACCATTCAACGCGATCAGCTGGCGTTGTTGTTGCTATCGCTGTTGCTGTCGTTGTTGTTGTTGCCGCAGCAGTGGGCGAAAGTGGGAGTGGCAGCGAGGCAACATCGGCTATCAAAGCAATGGCATTGGAGTTGGCATCGAGCTTGAACTGCGCCGCTGCTGCGCTGCTGGACATTGTTGTTGTTGTTGTCGGGATGGTGAAAGTTTTCCCAGCCTGCGGGGGGTGGTGGGTTGATGGGTTGTTAGGTTGGGTGGGTGGTGTGCGGTGATAGGAAAAGGAGTGAGAGAGAGAACGCAACGCAACGACGCGACGAAAAAAGCGTCCACAACACGTTGCTTTTGACTTTCGACTGGCGGCAGCAGCAGCGGCGGCGGCGAGCGTTGTTCAGCGTTCGTGTTTCAGCTGGCCGCTTTTGTATTTGTGTTGTATTTGTGGCAGCGGCAAGTGCGGCGGCGGCGGCAGCGGCAGCTCAGCTGCACTTTGTGCGAGCGAGAGAGCGAGCGAGAGAGAGAGCGAAAGCGCCAACTGGCGAGCGACGTCCAAAATCAACGCAAAGGTGTGCGACTTTGCCGTTGCCTCTCTTACACACACACACACACACACGCCGGGGCTCTTTGGTGTGAGTGAGTGCTGCAGCAGGCGGGCTTTTTGTTTTTTTTTTCGCGACCTGTTGTTGCTCGCTTGATAATGCTAGGCTTTGTTGTTGCTCGCTGCCGTCGCTATCAGCTGTTTTATTGCATGTTGTTGTTGCCGCCCCAAAGTGCTGTCGTTGTTGTTGTTGTTGTTGCCACTAGAGAGAGAGCGCCGGCCAACAAACACGGCTGTTGTTGTTGTAATATTTGGTTTCTCTGGTTGTTGTTGTTTTTCGCTGGTGTGTTTCTCGGTGTTCTTGGTTGTTGTTGGTGTGTTGTTTTATGGTTGTTGTAAGTGTTGGTGTGATTATTGGTGTTACTATTCCTAAAGTGGCTGTTCTTGGTTTCTATTTATTTAGTTGGTGTTAGTTTACCTATTGGTGTAAGTGTTGGTGTAGTCAAATCGCTTGGTTGTTGGTGTTGTTGTTGAAGTTTTTCCTTTTCTAATTTGTGTATAAGTGTTGTTATTGTCAATCGTTGTTGCTTGTTGTTTTCTGGTGTTGCATGAATAGTTGTTTAGTGTAGTGTTACCGTTTGTGTTGCTCTATGCATTGCAGTTGTGGCATCAGATGTTGTTGTTGTGTCTTCTGATCTTCCAGCTGATGTTATCACTTTAGTTTGTTGCTGAGGTGATTTGTGTTGGTGGTTTTCCGTGCGATTGTTGTTGCTGTGGCTGCCACTGTTGTTGCTTGTGGCTATTGCTATTGCTATGCTGTTGCTGCTGCTCGCTCGTGCTTTTTTTCTGTCGCCACTTCGTCGACGCTCGTTCGCCGCTCGTCGTTCGCTGTTGAAATCACGATTTGTACTAATTTCACATATTTAAACTGTGTGTGGCATGCGCGCTGCTCCAAACGGGCCGGTTGCCGTTGTTGTTGTTGTTGCTGCTGCTGTTGGCCGTAAGTTCGTCACTTGCTCTTCGCTACCCCCGCAGCCCCGCCTCTTGGCCCGCACACCTTTCCGTTCGCTTTGCTCGTGTCGCGACTTGCGATCGTTGCTGCTGCTGCTGCTGCGACTGGCTGCTGCTGCTGTCGTCAACAGCCCCACGTTGCACAGTGGGCCCGATCCGATGATCGCTCTGCGCATGTGGCAGCGGCTGCCAAACGGCGGCGACCATGAGATGCTGGAAGCCAACGAGCACTCACACAGACATCTGGGCAAAAGCCTATTTTTAAATAGCGACACATGGCACAGTGTGGCGAATGCAGTTCACTTGTTGCAAGGTGGATCGTGAATGGGAAAAATATCACGCAATGATGTTGATTTTAAGGGCACTACCAAGTGAAATCAAAAGAATTGTATATGAAAAACTGAAATCTTTTACCTTTTTATTTTAATTTACTAAGTTTTGACATCTATGGTTATTATGGCTAAAATGATATAAATTTAAAATGTAATTTTGAACACACTAAAAATATAGAAGAAATGAACTTGAAGGTTGATTAATTTTGGAAATTAAAAAAAAACATTTTAGGTACATCATGATATTTATCTTTTGCCTCATCAACAACTATTGCTCCACTGTGCTTTTGGCCGCTAAAGCTGTAAATATGGTTGCTGCCTGGTCCTCTCACTCGCCCTCTCCCACTCCCTCTCTCACGCCTCGAACTTCTCTCATCAGCACGGTTGAGAAGTTGTTATCGTTGCCACTGTTGGTGTTGTTGTTGCTGCTGTTGGACAAAGCAAAAATAATAATAATAATAACAACAACACCAGAAAGCTCGAAAACACGGTAACAAATTTAGCGAGTCAGCAAAATAACAAAAAAAGAATCGAAAAAGGAATTGCATTTCACGGAGAATTTGGATGTTTTCGGTCTTGCCTTTCTGATATTATGTTTCATTATACCCTTTTATAAGGAAAATTTCGGATAAGCTCTTTCAGGTAATACCTTGTTGAGATAAAACTAGTATTTGTTTCTAAATTTCTTAATTAGGGATTTAAGATTTTGAAAGTAAAGTCCATTATTATGCGGATAAAATATTATCCAGATAAAAATACTTTTATACAAAAATGTTAATTTTATTATATTTTTGAGAAACACCTGCCAAAAACGGTGATATCCCTTATTATAATAATTTAATCTATAAAATTCGTTATAGAAGTTTAAAGGGTCAATTAAAATTTGAGCGATAGAGTATTAATTTTTTCGATCTCCAAACGACACTTTCATTTCTGCCTGTTAATCGCACGGTGTGAGCGAGAGGGTGGCGAGTGCGAGGGAGAGGCGTGTGTGGAGTGAGCTGTCGCTCACGTAGGCAGTATTTTGTTTTTGCATTCGCCTGCACTCTCTCCGTATTTCTCCTTCTCCCCCGCATAGCATACGTGAGTATCTCCTTCTCGTTCTTCTTTGCATTGCGTGTCCTAAACCACGTGCGAATCTTTTGTATAATTTCGCCGAATTTCGATGCTTCATACGCACACTAGCCCATTACAATAATCACATACATACCATATGTACACACATAATTAGAGCGACTTAAGCGGTCGTTTCTTATCAGTTTTGCATTTCGCCTTGCACAATCGCCCCCTCTCTTTCCCGCACAGCTGTTTTGCATTGCGGAAGCTTTCGCGTCTTCTTCTCCTTTCTGTCCGTCTTAACGGCTCATTGTCAAGCTGCGTCGCTGCCGCAGTCGACGTCGCGGTTGCAGCGACGTGTTTGCCGCACCTACGATAACGGTAATAAGCTGACATTTCCATGCACCTCGCCAGAAAACCGGTTCTTCCGACCGCTATATACCCTACACGCCTTTTTTCGAAATTAATTACTAATCAATCGTTACTTTCTTATTTGCTAATTAATGAGTAACAAAAGTTATTACTCAAATAAATCCTTATTTAATGATTAAAAATTGCCACTAATAATAAATTTTACTATTGATAAAGATAGCAATACTATTTTAAATATTATCCGATTCGAAAAATGTTCAAATACCTATGAATCTTATAATTTTAAACCTACTTCATTGATTATTTAAAAAAGTGTGCTAAAAATGCTCCTAAGATTTAAAAATGTTTTAGGATACGAAATTTTAAAGACTGCCTTTTTTTAAAGGACTTGGAAATAGATTTTTTTTTAATTTTCAAGCATTAAAATAATTGTTTTTGTTTACTGCACATTTGTTGGCAGTTTTTTCATCGCCTTGTCAGCAAAGACGATTGCATCCCTTTCAAAGTAGTGTGATTAATCGCCATTAAAATCCACGAAAATAACTTGGCCTGCAGCGTGACTGTGGCACATTAGACCCCATCCCCAATTGGCTCGGACCGCGTCAGGGCAAACGACTCGACGTCAGCGATGTGGCGCAAAGCTTTTTGCATTCAATTCTCGCTCCAAGTTGACAAATTGACGTTCAAAGTTGTTTGCGCAGCATTTCAGTTGCAGTTTCGGTTGCGTTGCCTGTTTTTCTTCATTTCCAGCCCGCTTTCCATCCGCTCCCGTTCAGGTTCCTTATTACGTTATGACTCTCGACGGTTCGAGAATTCTCCCCATTTCACTGCCTTTCAATGTGATTGTGCGATTGAGTGCGAATGGACGATATAGCATAAAATTGGCAAAGAAAAGTCAGCTTGCACCTAATAAAAATGTATTAATTTAATCTAAAATTTAAATATACAAATTTAAATACTTAAAACTTATATTTCAGTTGGAACAAACAAGTTTAAAAAAATCATTGCATACTTTTCAGCAACAGATTTCCGTAAATGTTAAAAAATCTACGTTCACTTTTAATATATAAAATGTATTTACATATTTACAATGAATTTTTAAAACTTTTAAAAGAATGCCATCTTATTTTAATTGTCTCGTATTTTTATATAAATATTTATTAAAAATCATTTGCGATGCTTTTAAAACACGTCCGAAAACTTTCCATCAGCACTGTTTCGCTGAGAAATATATAAATTGAAATTTCTGTTCCTGCTGCTGCCAGCATTATTGTTGCTGCCAATTCATTTTGTCATTGCCATCTAAAATGCATTGAGCTGTCACATTAGAGCAGCAACTCGATACTTCAGCCCCTAGCCCCTCCCTCCCCTCCGCCCGTCCATTAGGGGAGCTCAGCATTTTACTTACAGTCAAACACTTTTTTTATCAATCAACTCTGAAGGTGTTACTGCAGTGGATGTTGTTGATGTTGTCGATGTTGTTGCTACTGCAGCAACCGTTTGTCGTTGCGTGCACTTTGGTGGAAATTGCTGTTGACGTTGGCTATACGGAATACTTATAAGTAAAAATACATATTTTTATTCAATTTCCAACATTACGTCGGGACGTCGCCACTCCGGCATTGTCTTTTGTTATTTTTGCAATTGCCCCGGCACCGCCACCGCACCACCACCCCCATTTCCGCCGAACCCACCGCCCACCGCCCGCTCGGTGTTTATCTGACGATGTTTTTGCCCCCCGCTTTTTTTCAATTATGCAGCGAACAATGCTTTTCTTTCCTTTTTTTCCTACTTTTTTGCAGCACCTCTCCCCCGGGGGCAACTGTTCAACTGTTTAGCCTGTCGGATTAGCCACGCAGCTGTCGCCGCGCTGGAAAAGCATTTCCCCATTTCCTCATGGCGGAGCTGCTCCACAGCTAGTCGCCCTCTAAATGCAGTGAGTTTCCGCAGTTAATGCCTGTGCGACATGGATTTTCTGGTATAAAAATATAGGAAAGCCGTGTATTAGAAGAAATAAGGTTGGAAAAAACTGCCTTTGTGATTATTAAAGGTAAAGTTTCCATTAAACATTACTTATAATACTATAACCATAATTATAATTGCAATTATAGCGAATAGGAATAATGAATAGGGTTAAGTTTCCATTAAACATCAGTTGTTATAATACCAGGACCATTATCATAATATTTATAATAAATACTTACCTATGGATCTTAACAAGAAAAATGCTTTACTTTATCATTACAAAGTAATACATAAACATAAATAAATAAAGCCTATAATAATCTTTTTATTATTTGCAGATTTAAATTAACCTATATCTTAGTGCTTTTCCACAATGGTGCGTAATAATTAAATTATATGCGAAAATACCGAATAGGAATATTATTTTTCCCTGAGTGCAGTTGCTTGAGTTTTGCCACTGATGCGTATCTGATGGCCAGCCTGGTCGATCCAGTCCGGTCCGGACTGAGACTGTGTTGGCCGAGTTAGCCGCGTGCTAACGGGAAGTCGACGTTGAGTGAGCGGCCAAAGGAAGTGCATTTGAATGAATGCACATCTGATAAAGCCTAATACCCATGGACAGCCCGCCCCTTCGCACTCCACAACTCACTTGAGTGGTCAGCACTTGGGATCTGTTTAATTAACTTTTTGCTTTGCGCCGATTTGCGAAGGCTGCCAGCCAACGCCAACACAAAATGAAAACAAAGTGAGGCGTCCGAGAGATTTGCGATTTCCATTCGCAACTTTGTTTGTTCATCGGCGATTGAGATACGTGGGCTTTGAAAAAGTTTTTTCCTATGTATCCGTGATAGTTCTTTAAAATAAATTCTCGTATCATCATTAAAATCAATACAATAGCCAAGAGGCATTTGAATAAATTAGTATCAATTATACATACTAAAGAAAGGAACAGAACTGTATTAAATTACATCATCCATGTAAATCCCGAACCCTAATTACGAAATCCTCTCAAGATCCAAGGGTCGTTGTTAGGGAAAAGCCTTCCCAAGATGCTTATAGATGGGACCTTGTTGCAGATACTGGTACTTCGTGCCTGCCGCGCACCACTTGCTCGGAAACTTTCGGGCATTCATTTAATTAGAATCCAAATCATTTGATAGGTACAAAGCCCTTAGTCATAGTGGCTCCTGTCCCCCGGGGGACTATTCTATTGACATTGTTCGCAAAGTTTCGCATTTGTGGAGAGGGGAGAGGGGGGCGATGGGTTCGAGTTGTTTTGTTGGCAAAGTTTCACAATATTTTTCTGCTGAAAAGATGTTAAAGGGTTGCCCGGGTCGTTCGTCGTCGCGAAGGTATGGAATCGGATGGGATGGTATGGGATGGA